TATATATATATATATATATCTGCAACAAATCTCCATAACCTACCAACCACACTTGGGCAAAAGGCTATAAATAGAAAGAATCTGACCTTTATGCACTGATGCAAAATTTCCAGTGGTAATAATAAAATACTTGATCAGCTTGTGTTAGCCCTCAAATAATCCAAAATCCTCTTCTGTCTTGGCTCAATATATTCTCTTCTATGTAACTTATTTTAAACCCTAACAGGTCCACCTAGATTGAACAACTCACTGGTCTCTATTGCTACGGAGGCAGGAAGGTAGACCATGCCCAGGCAGGTAGAATCAGGGCCTCAGAGGGAATGAGAGCTTGTCATCCTAGGAGACCTCAAGCCTAGAGAACATCCTGTCACTGCCCTTGACAGCTTCAACCACAGTGGCTCTTCCTCAACTACTCCTACCCCTACCCCTTAGCAACAGCTAACTACAAAATTTCTACATCCCCCTCTTGTGCCAACAAACCCTCACCCCACCTTCATGATAATAAAGGCTTGAAAACTACTCTCTCGAGATTTGTTGAAAAAAACAAAATGGAATTGAACGGCCCTTTTCTGAATCGTATACCCTACCAATCACCTATAGGGACAGATTGAGCCCACAAAAACCCCTAGGTGACAAACCTGTGGGCAACCCTCTCTTGGAACTTCTCCCTCTTTGGGAGCCCTGCTTGCTTTCTAATACTGAAATCAATCCTGTTACTTTGCTCTCACCCCCGTGACCACGGATTTCATTCCTTTACTTCATGAGACAATCTACTCATCCACTTTCCATCCCCTACTAGTGGGAGTGACGAGCTTCACTCGCCATATCCTTTCTTGAATTAGAGGATACTAAACAACTTCATTCTGAAACCAGTTTTTGTTTTTCTATAAGGCTGGGGATGGGCCTCACACATGTTATGCAAGTGCTCCATCACTGAGCCACATCTCTAGGCCTGACAGACATTCTTCATTAGTCTTGCCAAACTGTCTTACAAGGCATGTCATGACTAATTGCCATAAAAGAGGTCATGACAGCAGGACAATATGTTAAGTAGTAGATACATTGCTGTATTTGCCTAAGTGTGACTTTCTCTAGAAAGGATATGACGAGAGAGAGAGAGAGAGAGAGAGAGAGAGAGAGAGAGAGAGAGAGAGAGAGGAGAAAGAGGAGAGAGAGAGAGAGAGACCCCAAATTCTTAATTCATTGAGGTTTAATTCGTCTGTGCTTTTGTTTCTATTTCTGTTTGGCTGATGGTTTATTTTGGTGTACTTGACTCTATCAGGAAGAAATAGATTGTCCAACCTAGGAATGTGTAAAATAATAGTAGAATTCTGAGCTGTCATTTAAAGGGCACTGAAAGACCATGTGCCCCTACCTCTCAATGACTTCATCTTCCATCAGTAGATCCATCAGGGATGAAATCACAGAAACCTAAGCACTTTCTCTTGAATACCTTCATGGCACTATTGTAGATTAGTTTGCCAATTCAGTTAGCTTAGGCTTCAACAGCAGGACAAAAAGGAGGTGCAAAGGATAGCGTGAGGGGGAGCAAAGCTTCTGATAAAGATGAAAAAAATAAGGAGTTCACAATAGGATAATAAAACTAGATAAATAGAAAAAGGCAGAGAGGGGGTAATAATGACAAGGCAGGTTATGAAAGACTTCCACAAGTTGCATTTGGATGGTTGGCTGCATTTATTGGTCTACATAAGTCACTGGCATCAAACCAATCAAACCCAGGCCCTTTCTAGATCAATAAAATCAGAATAAAATTTCTAAGATGTGTACTTTGTTTTACTTTAATTCCTTAAGTGAGTCTTTGGGCTGATGGATATCTCAGATTTTTTTTTCTAGATTCTTGATTAGCTTAGTAAGTGACGCTTACCTTGAAACACAAGCTTGTTTTACTGGTGGAACCCCACTCCTCTGGACATTTGGGCTCGGGGGTTGTCGTGGGCTCTGGTGGCCGAGTTACTCCTTCTGCCCAGTGCTTGCACACAAATTTTGCCTTTTCATCACATTTCAATACATCCCATAAACCCCCTGCAAGCCCAGTTCTCATGGCAACACATCCTGCCTTTCGCCCTGCATTAAACAGATGAAGCAGAATTCAGTCTACAGGAGTCTGCTGCAGGCCTGCAGCCCCACAGCAGCCCGTTCCAAGCTGAGGGTGAGGGTGCTTGCTCAAACCTTCACAGGGTAACACAAGGCAGGAGAGCACTGCTGCAGCATTTGACCATTGTTTGTGCCATTTGAACCATCTCTGGCCTTTTATTTATGTGATCTCTATCTCCAACTGAATTACCATCTTAATCGTAGAAAGTTTTAGAATATTTTGAATTTCTAACATCTCACACATAGGCACGTAAAGATACAATATTTTTAGTATGATCAAATGTGCCACAATGACAAAAGAAGTGAGTTAATGTTCCTTCCTTCATTCCTTCCTTCCTGCGGGCTGCTTGACTGCATTTTCTTTTTAGTTCTTTAAGAACTTTTTCTCCCCTTAGGTCCTTGTAGGTCTCTAAGGCTGAAGTTGTTTACAGACTTCAAAACGAGATACTCCTGAGGACGGAGATTTTCGATAAGTTCCTCAGCCACCGTGAACTTGATTTCTTCATCTTAAAATGCGCTTCACAGGGCCTAGCTGACGGGGTTGTGATGAATGCCAGCTTTAATAATTAAAGAAGTACATAAAGTAAAATGATGACTATGTTCAGCAGGAGGAAGGAGGACGAAGGGTGGTCACTGATAGAGAGGGTATCAGTATCATCAAAGAGAGTCCATAGATCACAGGATCACCAACCACAGAGGACCTTATCAACACAAGGATCTGGAAAAATGGGAACTGATACACCAACCCTCCCCCAGCCATAGTTAATTATAACCTTTAAAGAGCCTGTTGGTTTCAAGATCATGTCACACTCACCCCTTGTGACCAGGTCGTCAGGACCCTCACAAAGGGTATTTGCTAAGAGTTATACAAGGGGTGCTAAACCTCTTAAAGGGAGAATGTGAAACTAAGGCGAGAACAAAGGAACCCCAAACCCAGAAAACAACAGATTCTCTAAGAGCCACCTCCTTCCTATACTCTATGTAATATTCATTCTGCTTTTCTAATAAACTTCTGTGCAACTCGAGTGAAATTCTTCCTTTAGGATTTGAAAAACTGGTGGCTACAGACCCCTGTGGCCACTTTGGCTCCACGAGCAGGTCCCCTCTGCAACAAATATACGAAGCTTAATAGCCTACCACTCTATTTCCTAGTGACGGTTATTTCCAAACAGTAATTAACTAAGAGCTTTGAAAACATCATAATTTCTTGCTGCACCAATGAGCTAATATTTTTTTATTCATGGTATTTTAAAGATATTTAAGGGCTTAGGTATAATTCTCATAATTCTTAAAAGGTAAATCTTTTCCAGAATGTTTTCTCTTAAATACCTGATGTCCTGACATCCCAAGAGATTTCTCTGAGTCCCACAATAATCCCATCCTCTTTACAGTCCTGAGTTGGAACCTGATTACCTTGGAATACAAGAGAGCTAGGGCTGTAGCAGCCCACCAACTCCCAGAATCAGTTCACCATAGCATGAGGGGAACTTGCCCGGCAGTTCTTGCCTGCTCTTCTCAAAACTGTACATTCAAGTCAAAGAGGTCAACATTTCCTAAAGGGGAACCACCAACCTTCCATCAAGGATTCCCTATAACAATGGTTGCAAATGAATTGTACCTCCAGTTTGATCTGATTTGGAGGAGGGGAGTACTGGGGTTTGAACGCAGGGGCACTTTGCCACTGAGCCACATTCTCGGGGTATTACTAATTTGCTTAGAGCCTGGCTAAGTTACTGAGGCTGGCCTCAAACTTGAGATCCTTCTGCCTTAGCCTCTTGAATTACTGGGATTACAGCAATGCACCACCATGCCCAGCTACAGTTTGATCTATTTTTTATTCCCCTCAAAGACATTCTAGGATTAATCTTGCAGAATCTTACAGCTGAATGAGCAAAAGAGGCAAAGTAAATGTAAGAGTACAAAGGACAATTCCTACCAGGATTTTTTTTTAAATACACATTCAGTTCTTAATATCCTACACAGTAACTTTAAGACTGAGCCTCAATCTTATTATTTTTCATAAAGTTCAATAATTTAATAACTATACAAGAATTGCACCATTCAGATTATTGTTTTTCTTATTAGAAGCTGAGGGAGAATGCAAGTTAAAAAAACTGCAGGAGATTAGGGTGTATTACTAGATCATTATTAGATTGATAAGTTTCTCAACCACTCTGTAGTAAATACACACGCTTGGGCTATTGTTTTCTTTCTTAGCTTCTGACCCAAGAACATGAAATATTTTTTATAAAGGATGTTGAATTTTCTGTGTTTTGTTGAAAAAGATAGGATGGATAATAAAAACAGGCAGTTAAGGAAATGGGCCACATAAAGACTTCTCTAAATGTAAAAGCCACTTCATGAGATTAACTTGTAAAAGCATGACAAACAATCCAGCTAAATGTGTTCTCAGACCTAAGTAAAGGTTACAAACTCAAAGGCTAACTAATAGCCTTGGTATTTTTCCAATACCTGATTGACATAGATTTTGACCATTTGGTAATTCTCCCATGCCTGATTAGCACAGACATTGATCAATGCCCTTAGTTATATACAATGCTAGTAGTTACATAAAAACCCCTAGACTAGCGCAGTTAAGTGGAAACCCTGAACGGGTTCCCATTCACCTTGAGGAAGCTCTGTCTTCCTTTTTCCTCACTTGAATAAATTCTACTCTTTTATGCTCAGCCATATAAAGGGTTAAACATAATCACACAATCAAGAAAGCAGAATAATGAATTCCACATAAGCATTCTTTTTACCCCACCACTCAAGAACAATATTTCTCTTTACAGTTGCATTGAAAAGTTGTATATCCATTTAATAAAGGTTCAAGTTTTCAGAAAAGTTCACTATTCAGAACATTTGGGACTCCTTAGGATTTTACAAGTATTTTTCAAATAGACCAATACCAAATAAACTAGCAATTCCTCTCTTCTTTCTTTTCCTTAGAACACTGCAAACTCATTGAGATTTAAAAAACAAAAAGAAAAAAAAGTGAAATATAAATAGTTACTGAAAACACAATTAATTTCCATTGTCTACTTGGAAAGGGAGAAGTAACAGGTTTTGTCAGATGGATTCATAGAATGAATGAATCCCTGAAAAAAGGCAGGGCACGTACCTGGCATATCTGAATTCCAGTGGGTGAACCGCACCTCCTCCTCCACTGTCCACTGAAAGGTCCCTTTGTTTTGTATATCCGAAAGTCCTGTCCAAAAATATTTTTCAGGCCTCAATCCAACCAAACTAGTCAGGAATGCTTGTTCATATCTTTAAAAATAAAAATTAATATTCAACTAATCTTTAGAAATATTTATATGAATGTTTTAAGTTATCAATACGAAAAGTATCTCAGTTATGTTTGAGCTATGCTGTAGTTGGTAATACAACCATACTGTGTTATATTTAGGTCACTTACATTATAAAAATTGTCTCTCAAGATAGGTAAGTTTACGAAGGAAAAATACAGAGCTGAGTGGATAAAATCATTCACATATACTAATGTCATTACCCTCCTCAAAATACAAAGGAAGGCGCTATATAAATTTTTTAAAGGTTTGTTTAAACAATTATTTCAATTTTTTCCGGGCTGGATTTATGGCTCAGTGGTAGAGTGCTTGCTTAGCACGCGTGAAGCACTGGGTTGGTTCCCCAGCACCATATGAAATAAATAAATGAATAAATAAATAAACAAAATAAAGTCATTTAAAAAGTCTTTTTAAAATGAAAAACAATTATTTCACTTTTTAAATAGGCCAGATACTCCACTCGATTCTTGATTAAGCAAGGAGAGGGATAGTAACATCATTGAAGATGTTGCAAATGAAATAATCTGTGAGGATTTCTCCCTCAATTTTATTTCTCATGTCTCAACTCTGAAAGAGAAAATTATTAAGAAATAGAAGCAAAAATTCGGTCTCTATCAAGAGCTGGAGGCATAACATGAATTCTAACACTTAGCCTTTGCGTTCTCATCCCTGGAATTGGCATCACCAGGCAACAATGCAATTTGTTTGGAAAAGCAACCGAAGTTTGTCTTAATTGACTGATGGCAACACAGACAGAAATCTCTCCTTGGAACAAGAGAGAGTTTTCAGGAACAAAAAGAGAAGGAGTTGACTTCAAAAAGACCAGAGAATGGATGTGGAGAGATGTAGCAACAACAGAATATTAATTGACCATCGTCTTAATGATTTTGTGCATCAAATAGGACAAACACAAGTTCCAAATGCAGCTTATTTTCCTTAAATATCCAAATTTTTTTATAGTTTAAAAAATACTTTTATTATGTTCTAAGGAGTTTATTGCCATCTATTGCCTGAATTTCATAGACAGAGATTGCATTTATTTTTAAATAAAATTACATAAAAATAAATAACATAAATATGCATTTCCTTGAAAATTCTGTGACTGTTAACATACAATGTACAAGACCCAAAGACAAGACCAAATGGAATTACAACATTTCAGCTTCTGAAATCTATTTCTAGAATAAATGAATATCCAGAATATCCAGATAGAATTTGTGTGAACAGAACTCAAGAATTATGGGAAAATGTATTGCAGAATACCTGCAGATCAAGTACCTACACCTTATGATTGGTTCTGAACATGATGTAGATAGAGTTTTTGTCCTTTTTCGAGTTTACTGATACGAAAAGAGTATTCGTTAATTGGATACACTGCAATAAAGAAGTTAAAATTCAAATTCAACAAGAGTTAATGGGTTCCTAAATATAAATGTCACCAAAAACACAGAAAAACTAACATAAAATATAGTGAAATCTTGTACATTATTCTTCAGTAGACTAATAAATCAGTGATAGTGCAGATACAAATCATCCCTGTAGTACTTAAAGACAGGCAGTTTATCCTCCCTGTCAGAAGATGCAAAGTATCTTTGTTCTGATTTTCAGATGTTGCATCATGGAGTGTGCCATGATGTATTAGCATTTAACTGTACATGAGATGAAGATATAAGTTGAAATACAGTTGTTCTATAAATACTGCAAATATTATAACAGTCATTTTTACCACTGAATTACATCCCCAGTCTTTTTTTTTTTTTCTTTCTTTCTTTCTTTTTTTGAAATAGGGTCTCACTAAGTTACTTCGGGACTTGCTAAGTTGCTGAGGCTGACCTCAAACTTGCAATCCTTCTGCTTCAGCCTCCTAAGTCACTGAATTACAGGCATGTACCATTGCATCCAGCCTATGAAAGTATATTTAATATCAGCACTATTCCATAGACTTTTTATCGGGTGTACTTTGAAAGACCAATAGGTCTAATTTATTTTTTATTATGTGTATTAACACTCAATAATTTTTGCTACAAATAAAATAGATATTCTTAAGTTTCTTTTAATTTTCTTAGGTGGCCAATGTAAGGCTCTACAGAGAATTAAGTAAAGAATGAATAAGTAAATTTTACATTAAAGGTTAAAAGTTATATAAAATCTTCTATATCTATTTTATTTATTTTATTTTCTTGACCTGCAAGACTATTAAGAAAGTAAAGGGAAAAAAATGAAAGGATGGAAAGACTGAATAAATTATTCTCTGCGATACTATCTCTCATAGTATCAGAGAGAGAGAGAGAGAGAGAGAGAGAGAGAGAGAGAGAGAGAGGATTTTGCCCTCAACTCCAAGCTTATAATGCTTGCTTTATAGTAGGTCATAATAACCCACTCATTCCAGAAGGGTCCTGCCCCCATGCCCTGGAGAGAGGGGCACAGAGTAGCCAAGAGGACTGTGAACAGCAGACCTTGCTGAGTTTTTCCCACCCAGTCTTTTAGCAATCATGCCTAGCCAAGGAAGTCTCTGTTAAAAGCACAAAAGGACAGGGTTCAGAGAGCTTCCAGACAGCTGAACCCATTGAGGCTCCCGGAGGGCAGCAGAGCAAGAAGGGCTTAGGAGTTCCATGCACCTTCTCCCACACCATCCCCTGTGCACCTCTTCATGAATATCCTTTATAATATCCTTTTCAATAAACCAGTAAATGTAAGTGTTTCCCTGAGTGCCCTGAGCTACTCAAGCCAATTAATTGAACTTAAAGAAGGAACTCCTACATATCCAGTCTTTCAGAAGCACATGTAAAACAACTTAGGACTTGTGAGTGGCATTTGAAGGGACAGTCTTGGGACCTGAGTCCTCAGGCTGTGGGCTGACTCCATGTCCAGGTAGGTAGTGTCACAGACGCACTCTGTACTGTGAGCGTCTATCAGGAGAAACTGAGTTTGATTTGGTCTTTCCTTCTGTATCCTCAGATTCTGACGCTTCTGTGCTCTTTTTTGGTGGAGAAAGTGGCAGAAATAGAAAGTGGGATTTTTGAGCTGACCAATTTTACTTACCTTTCCTGTTTTAAAATTTTGACATGGAGTAGATCAGAGAAGAGTTCATTCTAAAACTACATTCATTAGATTATTAGTAAGCTGTTCTAAATATTGCTTTATAGTACTAAAAGTAGCAAAATATTTTATAATGTTTGCAACTAATATTCAAATAAGAGTATTGTTTTTAATGGTTTTCCGTTTATAAGCCATACCACAAGGTCACACATGATTCACTCAAAAATTTAGAGCATACTGATATTTCAGTTTTCAGGCCTTTTTGAAAACTTTTCATTATTTGACCATATTTTAAAATAAAATTAAAACAGTGACATACCTGTCTTCAACCGTTGTCAAATAAGCTTTCTCATTTTGGCATGTTTGGTTGGCTTCTGCAAATGTTGAAAGTGTGTGTCCAATCATATAGCAGTAAAAGCCATGCCTTTTCCAGCCCTAATAATGTCATCAAGCCAGAATACAGGTATGACGATGTGAGGGGAAAAAAAAAAAAGAAGAAGAATTGTATCACATTAGATTGCGTAGAGAGAAGTGATGGGAGGGGAGGGGAGAGAGAGGGGGGAATGGAAGGACAGCAGAATAAAATAGACATTATTATTGCTATGGGTATATACATGACTGCATGACCAATGTGATTCTGCAACCTGTACACTCAGAAAAATGAGAAATTATATCCCATCTGATTCAAATGTATAATATGTCAAGATCATTGTATTGTCATGTGTAACTAATTAAAACAAATTTAAAAAATGAAAATAATAATGTCATCAAGCAATGGAGAAAAAAGAAGATCATCATGTATATATGTTAGAAACTATATTATTTTGGTAATCTTCTATCATGAAACAAAAATTAATAAATAATAGAAATGTCTAAAGAGCATAAACCTGAAGGACTTGAAATGCAACAAAAATCAAATATATATGATTAAACATATGTATATATACATGTATATGTATATGTGTGTGTGTATATATACATACATTAAAAACAACACAGTATTACATTGTGTGTCACATAAGAAATTACAAAGGGTGGTAATTCTATTCAGTTCTTATGTGTCCTTCAACTATTTGTGAAACAGTCACTGAAGAAACTGAACAACGGGCTAAGATTTCAGTTCAAAAAAGTGAACCACAGAAAATAATTTGGGAAATAGCAAGTCTGGCTGTCTATAGAGGCAATTACCTATGGTGAAATTAAATCTAAATATCATCTGATCATAGGAGAGCACTCATTCAACCTCAGGCAACACAACTTGATGTGGCTCCTCTCCCATACATCAAATGGGGCAAATACATAACAATAAATAAAAAATCCATACTAGGGCTGGGGATGTGGCTCAAGCGGTAGCGCACTCGCCTGGCATGCGTGCGGCCTGGGTTCGATCCTCAGCACCACATACCAACAAAGATGTTGTGTCTGCCAAAAACTAAAAACTAAATATTAAAAATTCTCTCTCTCTCTCTCTTCTCTCTCACTCTCTCTTTAAAAAAAAGACTAGAGTTTGACAAGAAGAAGGGGAACTCTCCAAGTACCAAATATAAATAGAATATTAAAAGCTAAATGGAAAATAGTCTACCGGTGTATCAAATCCAGATTAAGATCCAAGGGGCTGGATATTCCTGTCCATAAGAATACAACATTTGTTTTTTCACCCACCTGAGGCAGGGAGTTGGAATTGAGGCCCCTCTAGGAAGAGGAGTCTCCTTCTGTGAATGGAGAACTAGAAAACTCTAGCCATAGAAACAAAAAATGACTAGAGCCTTGTCATCTGCTTGGGGTTCTGAGTATTAGAAAAAATATTCTTCAGTTTGAAAATAAATGCCAGGTCTGCACCAAGATGGATGCCAGTTCTGCGCCAAGATGGATGCCAGTTCCAACTCTACACTATTCACATTGTATGAGATCCATGGCCAAAATATTAAAGTAATACTTGGTCTACAAAGATGGGGGTTCTTAGGCACTGAAGGAAGTAGAATGCAAAATAACATGCAGCAGAAAAATTTCCACATACCAGGTCATCTGAGATGATGATACTTGGGGGTAGGGGTGGGAACAGTGGACCCCAACTCATAATTGAAAATTACAAACCATTACAAATTGCAGTGCCACAAACCTGTAATCCCAGCCACTTGAGAGACTGAGATAGGAGGATCCCAAGTTCAAGGTCAGTCCCATATACATATATGGAAAAAGTGACCATGGATAGTTTGCTATATGCACTTGAGGTTATCTACTGGAAATGTTCTGGACAGATCATAGACTCCTAACATCTGGATGTCACTAATTCCTATGACCTGCCTACATATCAGTGCCCTCCCCAGGCTCTATGAGGAGTGCCATTTTATTCCCTATTCTCTCATCCAATTCTCATGACATTCTGAATGGAACCACTGACCATGGGTAGCCCTATATTACCTGCCAAGAATTTCAAAAAAAAAAAAAAAAAACTTTCAACAGAACAATGACACCAAACGCAGTAAACCACTGAACATTTAGACCATTGAAACATTTTGGTTCTGCAGAGAACGAAGAATTTCTCCTACAAAGTAAAGCCAAGTATATCAGATAATATTGACTGGTCATTGTGTACGTTCTATACTTACTTTCCGGCAGCCTGTTTCTGCTTCCTCTGTTTCTGGAGCTTGGGTTTGTGATTTCATCTTACAGATGTAGTCAAGTGGCTTCTCACAGGCCATATCTGCCCAGTACCCATCCTTAAGGGAGCACAGAGAAAAATAAATGATTATCTGTTCTTTGATGCTATTTTCTTGCAATTGTGATTCCATAAAGGAAAACTAAGATCCAATGATATTAAGGGACTATGGCAGCTATAAAAGGGAAAGGAAATTTCATGGTTTACATGTAAACAGCAAATTGAACTCCAGCTATACCAATGTAAAGTGACTATGTGGTTGTGGGTACCATTTATGACCCAGCAATAGGAACTTATGAATATTAGCTAATGGTTAGTTAAGTTTATCTTTGGGAGCAAAAAAAAAATCTTTCTGGTCTTCTTGAAAATGTCACTTGGCAATACAATTGATAGAAACTCAAGAAACTAAATCTGAATCTTAGTTCAATTTTGATCTATATAAAAATATCTCAAATGGAAACACTCTCACCAAACATACGCAATAAGAGGGACAGAAGGAAGACTCTGCTGACTTCTCCCAGATGTCGGTAAAGTTGCCTTACCTTCCCTTTCATCACAACGCAGTCTTCCTGCCTGTTGTTCTCATGGCTTGGTTCTCCACGAAGCCATTTGGTAAATGTTACAGGAGTCCCGTCACTCCACTCAAAGTACATTTGAATCTTGAGGTCATTTAAGCCAATCCACAACTCATCATTTGGCTCTAAACAGGAAGAAAAAATACAAACCTACTATATACAAAGGTTGCTTTCCAAAGGTCAACCAGGTATGGGGAAAAGAAGGCACTCTGCTTTGTCAACACAACTGGACTCCCTTGATATTGTCATTGTCATAAAATGTAATCCTTTAGAGTGTTAATCTGACCTACATGCTGAAAACTCAGATGTAAACCACATTTTATGTTGTCAGTGGTAGGTTGGATAATGTTTTCTTTGCATTGTAAATATGACTTGAGTTTTTTAGTTGTCACTATTACAAACTATATCTCCTGGGAGTTGTGAAAATGAAATTAAGGTAGATCTATTATTACACTCTATCTTGTGAAGATGCTTGTTTGTTACAAATAATTTTCCTGCCAACTGCACTTATATTGCTGGAAAGATGATATTCAGTGCATAAAAACCTATTTGACTAGTATCAAATCTTATGAATATTTTTAAATAACAAATTTAAAACCAGTTCTATTTTACTAATCATTGGAATTAAGAATATTCTAGTTGCTTTTGTTAATTGATCAATCATTTTATTAAGAGTAACAGTGACAGAAACATAAACTGAGGAGACAGACTGGTTTCTGACAATTGGCATTTAGTTATTAGTCTAGAAATATAAATGACTTTAAAATCATTTTCACCATGAAATGTCAAGAAATACTAGCAGAACTCAAATAACAAGGTTAAGATTTAAAATCTGATCTTTTTTTTTTCAAATTATATGGAAAATATTGCTGATGTTATAAGGAGCTACCCCCATTCTAATAATTCTAAATATCACAACAAAAATCAGGGGAAAAGTTGCAGTAATTGCAGATATAAGATTCCATGCCTGCAAAAAGTAAACATTTCCAAACAAAACAAATTAAAGAATCTATAATTCAATATCTATCCAATTTGCATAACTGGAAATTTCATCATGAATATTTGTTAAATGGTCTTTTCATGGTTAAAAAAAATTTCAAAGGATTATAAAGATGATTATAAGAAATTCCCTAAGTGGTTAAGTTTCTTCCTCCTAAAAGTTGTCATTCAGCTTTGATTTTGGAGAAGTCCTTGACTGGCCTCATGCCAGAGCAGCAGATGTTTCCAGAGTCACGAAGCATGAATGACAGTGCCCGGATGGCCCCCTTTTCCTCTCACTTGGAGTGGCAGATCATGCTCTTTTGAGCAACAAATATAGGTTTCAAAGAGACCTCATGCATCCTCTGAGGATTTTAGTTGAAGACGAATGTAAGTTTCAACTCCCAAGTCCCACAATTATAATAAAGTATCAAGAGACTCCTACAAACATATTTTGTCGTGAAACTGTTCTCCCCCTACAGCTTTTGTAATTCCTAAACACAGAAATCCTACAAAAATATACAACACGTGAGTGTAAAGTCATTAGGCTAATTTATATAAATCAGTTAAGGGAGCTGTGTTAGTTGGGAAAGGCATAGCTTATGGGTGCAGGTCCCAATTTATCCACAGGCAATATACTTCCATAATTAAAATAAAAAGAATTCTGAAGACTTTTGATTTAGAAGTGGCAATCTTCATTTTATAACTTTCCTTTACCTTTATCAAGATGATTTTGTTTTAAATAAGTATATATTGCATTACAATGTTGTAATGTTATAAATATTATATATTTTCTGGTTTTAATAATTCTTTTTTAAAAATAAAAACATTTCTAAATCATTTAATAATTCTCAAGCTGAATTTAAAAGCAACCCTGGTCGGGTCGTCCAGCTTCCCACAATAATTATAGCAATAAAAACATGATTCTCTTATTGCTCAGTCACGTTATAGAAAGTAGACAAGATCTACACTGAAGCCCCTGAGCATTCTAACCTACCTGTCCCCCACTGATTCATCCACAGACTTGATGATGGTAAGTAACTGTTATTCAGATATATCCCTTGTGATTTCATTATCACTTAGTCTAAATTTCCCAGAAGAGGTAAACAGAAGAATTAAGAAATTGTTTACAGTCAGCAGCAGGCAATTTTCTCAGTACCACCCTCAAGGAGGTGTGCAAGGAGAATGGTTTCCAGTGGACACAGTTGGTAGGAATAACAAGGTTTGGGGACCTTTTAAATCTTTTCCTATTTTTTCCTATCTACTTGTTAATTGCTTTTTCTCCCCCACTGCCACAATCCATTTCCAGGCAGTATGCATCAGACAGCAGCAACTCTGTCACCACCATCCACTTCCTCTTGTTTTGCTGGGTGGAAATGAAGAACAGCTGCAGCTATTCAGCAGCCTCATCAGTGAGAGATGAAAATGATAATCACTTAATCAACAAGAACTGCAGAAGGCCCATGATCATTGTGCTGTTTCTTAGCCAGCCCTTCTCTAAGATCAGGATTCCCAATTCATTTTACCCATCTTTTATTTCTGCTTAATACATTTTCTATGCACTTTTAAAAGTGTCCACCTAGATTGAGACATCAATTTCTTTAAAAGGCTCAGGCCAATACCTAACCACTCAAAAAAAAAAAAAAAAAGGTTCATTTCTCCTGCTATTCAACACCCTAGCAGCCTTAGCTGCATTAATAAAGAAAAGAAAATCCAAAGTAAGAGACGGTGCACTTAAAGATGTCTCTTGTGAGATAAAATATGGGCCTTACAAAAGAAAATACATACATAGACGCTAGTAATTCCAAAAGTTAAACATGATTGAGAATTTTAAGGTAGCCATCTCTGTATCCACACATAATATTTATGTGGGAAAATAACACTTAAAAACTATCCATAATTTGATTACATATTATGAGAAAAATAATTGAATTACCACTTAGTGATAAAAATCCTTTAAATTACTATATAGTTTTTGCACTGTGCGCATGATTAGCCTTTACTATTCAATCTATACCTTTAGTTTAGTTATTAATTTAAATTTAAAATTAAATTTAAATTTAAAAGTAACATTTCTGATTAATTTTTCAGACACTGGCGGAGAGGAGAAAGGGTTGGAGCTCAACTTATTACCAGTATAAGGTTTCTCACCATATCCCAGCTGGGAGAAAATGAAATCAAACTCCTCAATGGTGTGGATACTTGCGAGGTCACCACCTTCCTTCCGACATGCAGTCAAAGCATCCCTCTGGATTTTCTTCTGTTCTCTGTGAATCTTGTAACAGTTGCCTGCATATGGCCACCATTGACTAGGACACTTAGTAGGCACATCACTTTCTAGAAAAAAAAAAAAAAAGATGGTTTGGAAGGCACTTAAAAGAGAAATTTTGTCTAAAATTATAATAATATTTTCCAGCATTCTAAATATAAAACAGTTTGTAGTTGCAGGCAAATAATGGTAATATTTATTTTTCACCTTTGGCATATAGATTCATAAATGATAGTCTAGACATGTTCCATTTGCCTTACTTTCAGACAAAAAAAAGTGAATCCATCTTTAATGTCAAAGGGGAAGTCTCTTTAAAAATGTGTACCTGTCACAAGACCACAGTAAGATATAGTAGACTAATTTTACCAACATCTTAAAACATCCGCAAGCCTGTACTAAGCATCTATTAGGCACAGTTTAAATGCTGGAAGCCTGAAAGTTTTGACACAATACATCCTCTGGAATATTTCAATGTACCTTTTTCTTCATGGACCTTAGGGAGCCAATGATTCTTCAAGGAGTGCAATGCTCATAAGGTGGGCATGAAAAAGATTTGCATTGAGGCAGACCCATCAAAGAGCCTCTGCAACTACAGTAGCATGAGCCAGCCACCTGCATCTCTGAATCCATCCCCCCATTTACTCACTCCTAAAAGATGGTATGTTGTTATGATAAGAGAGCAATAGAAATTCAGAAGTCTTTCAGGCAGAACCTGAATTTGCCACAGCTGCGTGATATTAAGCAAGTCCTATCACATACATGAACCAAAGTAATCACATATGTAAATATTTTTAAACAGTATTACTCATACTAATGTTAAATTACTTATTTTGTGTTCTTTTGAAATAGAATAGAGTTGATGTTCTTATAAATGACATACACTACACACTTACTAGTTAAGAAATCAGTAACAGCACTGTATTATTGCTATGAATAGCTATGGTCAAATTTATAATTTTAAATGTTTACTCTAATAGAAATGAGCCAGGGCAAGAAGCTTGATGGCAGACTCAACTGCACGCATCCCTGTACACCCTTGAACCTGACACAGGGCCTGGAGCATGATAGCTACCACCAGTGTTGGTTGGGAGAAAATATGAAGTTGTATGTGATATACAGGCAGCTTATTTTTACCATTCTATAGACACTGTTTCAAACTGCAACATACCTTGGCTAGAAAGGGACTATATGATCAAATAAAGGTCAATTTATATATTTAAGCATGATATTAAATGTTCTCAAACGTGGACCTTTAGCAAATTTTCAATTCAGGAGACAATCGTAGGTCATTCTTTTAAAGAGTCAATCCCATTTTCTCTAAAAGCAGATAGTCTCGGAAACATCTTTGGTTAAGCCCAGGATTCTGTGCAGTAGCAATTTAAGAAAATATATAATACAAAGCCCTAATGCTCAACTATTGTAATAGAAGATGCATATGTTAAAAATTCTATTCCCTCAATGCAGTTTAGATTCTGTATACTTCTAGTAGTAACAGGGGGGAAAAGTTAAAGAAGGAAGGAAAAAAATATTTTTAAAAAAAATTTTTAATTTTTTTTGTTGTTGTTGTTAGCATGCCTCTGGAGCCCTCTGGTGGGAGATTTTAATTTTGCTGTCTAAGAAACAGAAGATAATGTCAGGCAATGCTGAGGACTTTAAAACCAAAATAAATAACCTTTAAATATATTTTAAAACATGAAAACAGCTGGGCAGTGGTACATGCCTGTAACTCTGGAGGCTAAGGCAGGAGGATCCCAAGTGCAAAGCCAGCCTCAGCAACATAGCAAGACCCTGTCTCAAAAATAAAATAAAAAGAACTGGGGAGATATCTCAGTGGCAGAGCATCCTTGAGTTCAACCCTCAGTACCACTAAATAAACAAACATGAAAACAACCAACTCAAGTAAAATGAAGAGGAGTTCTCTGGGGGCAGGATCCTACAAAACAGCTCTATTCCTCAACAGCAGCATGGCCTATAATGTAGACCACAAATGTAAGCCACACATGTAATTTTAATTTGCTAGTAGCCATAGGAAATAAAAGTAAAATAAAACAGGTCAACTTCACTTTAATAAACATTTTATTTAACTCAATACACCCAAAACTTTATCATCTCAATATGTAATCAATAAAATTGGGTGTTTTTTTTTTGCCCTTTTTTCATGCTGAGTCTTAGAAATCAAGTGTATTCTTACATTTGTGTATTATTACTTACATCGCAGTTTGAACTAAACACATTTTATTTTCACAAAAGCCACATGTGGCTAGCGGTTGCTGAACTAGAAAATACAGTTCTAGACTATACTGTGAATTTGGGGCAAACAAGGTACTGTTGCAAGAACCGACAGGGTATGAGGTTGAGTTCTTGCCGAAGGGTTCACCAATCATGAATACTGCAAAATTTGATCTCTGGTATGCTTTATCAAGCATTGGTTTAGTAGGGTTTGTAAATACAGAATAATCCAGATAGTATAGTTATATGCAAAAACTAAATGAAGGTTGGAAGTAAGGCAAGGGAAAAACAGTGGAAAAATAAGAATGGACTGAGTGCTTGACAATACACACAACACTTTTCAGGAAGAAGATTTATTAATATTTATATTTTGGAGATGAGGAACCTGAAACTGGTGGGTTAAGCAACAAGGTCAAGTTACAGAATTCTGCCTCCCACGTGAAAGAAATTATAAAATAACCTTTCTCCTCTTCCCCCAAATGGCAATTGCAAATCTTTGAAAGGAAATTGTATGAACTCTTCTAAGAAAGAAGAATTACACTATTCTAAGGAAGAGGATATGAAATGTAAAAGTGATTGTAGTCTCCCTGAGGCATGTCCACAGACATTCTGAAGTGTCTATAAAGCACAATCAAGCCCATGAACTGGTACCCTCATTTACAGCCTTTAGAGGTCTTGACCATCTCTACAGCTACTGACGTTACAGGCACACCTACTCTCTAATCCAGCAACTGCACTTCTAGAAATTATCATAAGCATGAAAGGACATGTAAATGCTTCAGGATTTTTTATAATAATGAAAGCTTGGAAGAAAACTACAAATCTGTTAAGAGAGGACGAGTCAAAAACTATAGTTTGTGCAAGGGCTATCATTCAGCCATAAAAATGAGTGCAGAAGCTATTTATGTACTATATGGAATGGTGAACAAAACTGTAATTAAATTTTAAAAAGCTTAAGGTGATAACTATATGGCTAGTATGTTGCCATGTCAATAAAATAGACAAAAATAAATATAAATATGTTCGCTTACATGTAGATAAGGGTAGAAACACTGACACGCAGAAACACTGACTCTCCAGAGAGAGGGAACTATGTGGTAGAGATAAGGGAGGATATTATCATTTGTCTTTTGGCACATTTTGAATTTCTAGGAATGTCAATCATGTTTTAAATGAAATTGCTTCTAAAAGTAAAGGAGAAAGGACTCAAGAACACAGCACTATCAGTTCCCAAGCAGGAAAAAAAAAGTTAAATAAAACCCTGGGGAGCATTAGTTATTTCTCCACAAACAGCTGATGGTAAAAAATGGAGTTTGTTTTTCATTACTTTGAAGAAAGAATTCATCCCTCACCTTAGCAGTTTAACTCTTAGATAAGATTATAATGGAGACAATCATTGAAGTTTTTCCTGGGGCCTCATCTATATATGAAACATTCTGTGACTACTTTTTGAATATTTTATTCCATTCTGTGAAAACTTCAATTTTAGATGCTGCATTGAACAACACTGGAGCCCAGATTGATCCCTGAGGACATAATAAAAACATCCCTTCCAGTATTTATTTCCTACCTCGGATTCCAATGTTGTCATAAGTGCAAGTGGTACATGTGCTATATGTATCTTATTCCAATTCTTTAACATGTGAAAAATAATAGCTACCCCAAAGGCTTGGGAAGATTCTTATTTATGTCAAAGATTTTGCACACTCAGGAAACATTACAACCAGTAGTAGTAACCAACAACAAAACTGTATCACCCATCAACTAGGAACAAGACCTCTGGAGTCATTCCATACAATTATAATGAGACTGTAATTTTATTTCTATTTAACTTCTAATATTTTGCACACTTCAGATCAAATTGATCACTCACCTGAAGGAATAATGAAAGTATTCAAAGTATTGTTGCCCTTTTTACATATGTAGCCTAGTTTCTGAACACATTCCAGGTTTTCCCATTTAGCGTTTTTTCCAGGATTTAGTGACACACAGCTTTTTCCAGGTTCAGTTGATGGGCTTCCTTTGAGAAAATGAGAAAGTTTAAATGGCACTATTACACGTATTCCAAGTAGACAGTTCCCCAATCCCACATCTTCATCCTCGAGATTTAATGGATCCCCATTCTGTCTTTTGCTACACATTCACAAATAAATATTTACTGACTGCAGAGCAAAAGACATGATGGGTATCTATTTGTTTCCTTGTTGTTGGATCATTCCAATCCCGAAAAATGTTATTATAAAAGTATAAAAAATGTTATTATAAAATTATACTTCTTTGAAATAACTTTTTCCCTATCATCCACTAATAAAGCTAGACTTAAACAATCATCACACTAGATCACATTATGGATCACAAAGCGGTATCTGTATATTAAACACTGTCAATACCTACTGAAAAGCCAAGTCATGTCACCAGGATAACTGAGAACCAGGCTAGAGAATCTGCACATAGGGAAACTTTCCTCAATAAGAGAGAGGAGACCGGAAAGAAAGACAGTGAAAAGGACAAAGGCAAAGGGAGGGAGATCTGTGATGACAACATGCTAAGCTCCCAGAATTAGGTTCTCAGTTCCTTCCACTCAGCCCCCTGAAGAATAAGTTGAATAGTTAATTCCTCATGCACTTTTACTATGAACTGATTAAAGATCCAGATAGACGACATTACTAAGCAGTGGTTCCATGTATTGCTACCTGTATTTCGCTGCTCTGTGTTCCTCTGCTGTTTGAATTTTAAACCAGGACTTCAAACACTAGCTACGTTTCACACCTGCAGTCAGGGCCAATGAATGATGCTCTGCTAGTGATTTTACTCTGTGACCTTGGATGTGTATATAACCTATGTATTCCTGAACTTCCCTTCCCTTCCTGCAAGATGGAAATCATGTTACCTGCTCTATAAAGTTTCAGCAGAAAATTTTCAAATATTACACAAAGAAAAAACAACTGTGAGTTATAAATATAAAGATGTTTTTAAAAGTGTGTTGAAACTGTGACTAAAATACCAGGGTAACTAAACTAACAAGTAAGTTGCCAGTACTAGAGAGAAACTTTCAAGAAACAATAATACACTTACAGCTGTTGGTTAGTAATTCGTGTATTCAATAGTAAATCACATTATATGCTGATTTGCCAAAACAATGCCGCTGTCAACTTTAAGATACCAAACAGTGGTCTATAATGCTTTAATAGTCATTACATATTTGAATTCATACTAATTCATACTTTGTGTAAAAGAATTTTTTAAAAGTAAATATATTTTAACAAATGCACCACTTGGTAAGTGCTCAATTGAAATATTTGACTGAATGATTTATACAAAAGCGATTTATAGAATTCCACGAAGTTTCTAATTTTACTTTTAGAAATCTCTTGTACTCTTTCAGAAGGCGATGTAGTTCTGTACCTACTTTTCAGGAATTGGGGCTAATATTTCCCATTAATATTCTCCTTTCACACCCTTACCTTCACCAACATGAACCCCCAAATTCTCACACTGAACTCTTAGAATACAAGTGCTTAAAAATTATAATCCTTACTCCCAAACTGAATAAAGAAAATAATCTAATTTTTACATTGTATGACAATTTAGCCACTAAGAGTGAATTCTAGTTCCTAATATATGATTATTATTGTCTAATGATCTATTGGAGCCCAACTAATATTCTCCAGCATAATTTGACAGAATGAATAGGCAGACAAATGAAATCCTCACTCATAAAAAGTACATCCCTTATAGTAATATTTACTTTTTGTATTTCAGAAGAAAATAAAAGTGATTTTTTCATGTCAAACTTAAAGCGACAGGACTGAGGGTATATAGCTCAGTAGTAAAGCATGCACTTAGCATGCATCAGGCTCCAGATTTGATTCTCAGCTCTCTCTCTCTCTCTCTCTCTCTCTCTCTCTCTGCCTCTCCCACTCTCTCTCTCCCTGTCTCTCACACACTAAAGCAACAACACTGCACTATCATGCACTGAAGGAATACATCCAAAGTAGGATTTCAAAGTAAAATCTAATCAATCTAAACCAAAACATAACCTCTAAAATTTCTAGCATGTTTTAACATCTATGTAATGGAATACTATTTTACCAAACTTCTTCTTCTTTTTTGCTTTTTTTTCTCTCTTTTTTTAAACACTAGTCAATATAGAAAATAAAAGTTTAGCTTTAAAAGATAAAGTCTGAACATATCAAAGAACACTGTCTTGATCTTGTTTGTAGTAAAAGTGATAGAGAAAGATGTGACCAATATGCCACTGTTTTCCTTTTCTACACCCCTATGGTAGACATTACTGATGGTTAATTGCACTCTTTCCTGAGGAGCCAGGATCGGTACTGTAATGGGATTGAAGGGATTGAAATCACACTCCATAGAGGTTCTCTAGCAGCTACTAACATTGAAACTCAAAGGTAGACCAGGATAGGGACATAGGATAAGGGCTTTAGAGAAGAGAAAGAGGGAATGAGACCATGCCATCCTGAAAGGAGACTTCGGGCCTGGGGAACCTCCTGTTACTGCCCCTGAAAGCTTCAACCGCAATAGATCTTCCTGAGTTTCCCCTACCCCTAGCCCTAACAACCGCCAACCACAAAATCTACCTCTACCTCAAGCACTTCCTTTTGTGCTAACCAATGCTCACTCCCACCCTTGTGCTAATAAAAGCTTAGAAATCACTTTTCCCAGATTTGTTGAAGAAGACAAAACAGAGTTGATTGGCCCCTTTCTGGATCCTATACCCCATCAATCACCTATAGGAATAGATCCAGCCCATAAAAACCCCAAGACAACAGATACCTGTCAGCAACCCTCTCTTGAGACATCCCCCATCACTTCACAAGCTCTGCTTTCTTTCTATTACTATGATAAATCCAGTTACTTTGTTCTCACCCTTGTGCCTGTAGATTTTATTCCTCAAATTCATAAGACCAAGAACCCATCCATCCACGTTGTGTTACAACATCAGTTGGTGTTAGTGAATAATGCAAAAACTTTTTAGCATTACTTTTTTTTTGTTTTCTCTGAACAGTGGCTTTGTACATACGCCTTACCTTCAGGAATTAGTCTCCTCTTCTGTTACTTGTATGTTATGATAACATAGAAATAATTAGTTCACACCATTTTATATCCTCCAGAAAATTAGAAAGCCACTGAAGTTTTTGTCTTTCCCTGACTCTAGTTTTCTACAATCAAACTACAAATTGTCAAGAGAAGTGCTAATTAATGTTTATGCTAGTATGGAATATTATAAGCTGTGACTGAGGTAATATTTTTTAATCCACAATTATACTACATTAAATACAGCAGAAAATTATATCAATGTAAACCTTAGGGTATTTGTATTAGTAACAGCAATATTGTAAATATTGCACAACTGAATTAATGAAAAATCTGTCAATCAGGATAATTTCAGTTCATTTAAACTCATAATGTGTATATGTAAGAAACTGTAGGATTATAGTGTGCCAGTTTCCTGAGATAAGAACTTGTCTTCCAGGATTATCCCCAATTAATAAAACCATAAATCTTTGATTATTGTATGTAACATATTATGTGTTACATATTATAAACATAATTTGTGTTTAAGCACTTTTAGGTAATTTATGGATAAGCACTTTCAACTGCAATGTTAAAGAAAATTCCAAAAGGACAAAGATTCAAAAGTCAGACATTCAAAGAATTGAAACCACCTTGCCAAACTTTATAAATATTTGGTGAGTAACACTTTCAGAGATGATGAGAAGATGGACGCAAGAACATGTTTTGTGTGTGTATGTACATAGTTTATATATTTATATATATATATATTTATTTATATATAAATATACACACACGCACACACAGGTGTATATGTATACATAGTAATAATAATATCTGTTACTGTCTTTAATAAATCATAGTTCAGACTAGCTATAAATTTGCTTTTGAGTATAATACCTTAACAAATCAAGAATACACTGAGAATTCATACTGTAAACAGAGACATGTATTAATTGGGGATAATCCTGGAAGACAAATTCTTATCCCAGGAAGCTGGCAGTCTATAACCTTAAGAGTTCTAGAATATTCAAATCTAGCTGGTAGATAGCCAACCAGGTTGAAAAAATGGACTGTGATCAATGAAGTCTCCCAGTTCTTCTCTTTGAGATCTTCATGTGAAATGAAAAGGTCTTAACAGCATCCTGGTGAATTCAACTTGGATTAATTCAACCACAAACAGGCTTAGCCTTACCTGGTAACCAGTTCAAATATCGGAATGGACTGCCACCACTCCACTGCCAACCAGTGGTGAAACTCAGACTGTTAAGCCCAATCCAGAGTCCTGAAGTCAAGGAACTGGTTAATCCTGTACAACAAGAAGCAAAACCAAAAATAAAACAGATATTCAGAAAACATTGAAGTTCAATTCAGAAGTAAGTGCTTGAATCAAAATGTAAGAGAAATAATAAATATCAAGCCTGACCTTTCTCCTTTGTTTCTACTAGTAATCAAAAGCAAGTAGAACTATTGCTGCACTGACAGATAAAGAAATTGAGGCCAAGGGAGCATAGGCGAGCTAGTAAGACTCTAGCTAAGGTTTCAACCCAGATCTAACCATGACAAACCCCATCCTCCTAACTACTACATGCTTTCTCAAGGATATTACGAATGTGCTTCTTACTTTGATACAACTTAACTGTCTTTAACTATCATCAAATAATGACATTTTACTTCTTTTGAGAGTAAAAGTAAGATTTTTTCATATAAAAGCCAAAATTCTCTATGACTCAAAAATTTCAATGAACATTTTAAGCTACCATGTTAGTGAGTCATTATCTCAACCTCAGTAAGTTCTTATCGTTTCAGAACTTACTTTAAGAATCTTATATTTTTAGAAGTCAATTTTTCTTCTTTATTAAAATGGTAATTCAAGGCACTAAATGTTTATGTTACTCTAAACTCTTCACTTAGGCAGATAATAAATCACAATTACAATGTTTAAAACTCTGTTCAATCCTTAGCCTACTGTGGAAGTTAAAAAGCAAGACAAAACACAGAAGCAACATGGACCTCCCAGTGTGAAAAACTAATAACCATTATTACCTTTATCTTTTTAAGAGCCATAGATACGAATTCCCTGTTCTCTTTAAATTCTTTTAGTTGATTAAAAACAAATTTTAAAAAACACTGTTCTTTGTGGTAATAAAAATACCAATCTAAATATGTATGTGTATGTGTGTATGTGTGTGTGTGTGTGTGTGTCTGTGTGTGTGTGTGTGTGTATAAATGTAACTGGGAAAGTTTTTTGGATATACTCCCCAGTCCAATCTTTCAGTGCTAAGAGTTACCAATTATGAATCACTTATAATAATTGAATCAGATTAGGCCCCTATTTCCATAATAAGACTTCTATAGCACAATAATTAAAATCAAGAATTAATAAATGAGATGGTTTCAAACTAAAAAGCTGCTTCTCAGCAAAAGAAACAATCAGTGAGGTGAATAGAAAGCCTACAGCTTAGGAGCAAATTTTTACCATTTGCACATCAGATAGAGCACAATCTCTAGGATATATAAAGAACTCAAAAAAGCTAAACACCAACAAACAAACAAACAAATAACAAATAACCCAATCAATAAATGGGCCAAGAAACTGAAAAGACACTTCTCAGAAGATGATATACAATCAATCAACAAATATGTGAAAAAAGGCTCATCATCTCTAGCAATTAGAGAAATGCAAATTAAAACTACTGTAAGATATCATCTCACTTCAGTCAGAATGTCAGCTATTATGAAGACAAACAACAATAAGTGTTGACAAGGATGTGGGGGGAAAGGCACACTCATTGCTGGTGGAACTGCAAACTGGTGCAGCCAGTATGGAAATCAGTATGGAGATTCCTTGGAAAACTGGGACTGGAACCACCTTTTGACCCAGCTATCTCACTCATCGGTCTATACCCAAAGGACTTAAAAACAGCACACTACTGGGTTGGCACTGTAGCTCAGTAATAGAACGCATGCCTCGAATGTGTAAGGCACTGGGTTAGATACTCAGCACCACGTATATATAAATAAAATAAAGTCATTGTGTTCATCTACAACTAAAAGAAAAAAACCCCAGCATACTACAGGGACACAGCCACATCAATGTTTATCGCAGCATAAGCCACAATAGCTGAACTGTGGAACCAAACTAGATGCCCTTCAGTAGATGAATGGATAAAGAAAATGTGGTATATATACACAATGGAATATTACTCATCAATAAAAGAGAATAAAATCATGGTATTCGTAGGTAAATGGATGGAGTTGGAGAATATAATGCTAAGTGAAGTTAGCCAATCTCCAAAACTCAAGTGCCAAGTGTTTTCTCTGATATAAGGAGGCTGATTCATAGCAGGTTTGGGAGGTGAAGCATGGGAAGATTAGATGAACTCTAGAGAGAGCATAGGGGTGGGAGGGGAAGGGAGGGGCATGGGGATAGAAAAGAGGGTGGAGTGAGATGGACATCATTACCCTAAGTACATGTATAAAGACATGAATGGTGTGAATATACTTTGTATACAACCAGAGATATGAAAAATTGTGCTTTATATGTGTAATATGAACTGCAATGCATTTTGGTGTCATAAATAACAAATTAGAATAAAAAAATTTTTTAAAGTAATTAAATGACTGTATTTGCTCACTTAATTCTCATAAAGTTTTTTTGTTTGTTTGTTTGGTTGGTTGGTTGTTTGGTTTGGTTTTTTGGAACAGGGAAACAAAGTCAGGACTTTGCATATGCAAGACAAGAGCTTTGCCACTGAACTTTTATAGATGAAGAAACTGGGTGTTTAAATGATATAATAGAACTGGAAATTTGAACCATGACACCAAAATTCAGACTCGATAATTCTAAGTCATTAAATTTTTACAAATTTTTCATGAGTTTGTAGAGACACATAGTCCTGTCATTTGTTGACATGGATGAGGAGCACTGGATCTCAATGTCAAAAGTCATCTCACAGTTTTCATACCCCAGGTCTGTAAAACTGCAGTGTGCAAACAGAGAACCACTTGAGGATACTGATAGGTTGAAACTGGTGAAGTAGGTTGAGGCTTAATAAACTGAACTGACCTCAATACTGGATGCTTGTCCTAGAAAGTAAACCCTACTATGATTTCTTTAAATAAAGCAATAAAAGAAAAATGGGATAGAATTAAATACTGACGTGCAAAATCAGTGAGAATTAATTAAAATCCACTTATTTTTACCAAGCATTCTAGGAAAAAAAAAAAAGCTGAAGAACTAGCCCAGTGTTATTTAACATGGGAGTTACCTAGTTCAATTCTTTTGCTTTATGGATGAGAAGAGAGAGTCTGAGCAATTTATTGAGAGTAATGAAGAGGATTAGCAGCTCAGGATGGGAACACAAGGTTCAATTTAGTTTTCCCGGTGGATTTAATCCTCACTGAAATTAAATTTGCCTGTGAGTTATTATTACAATACCTTTTTGAGATAATTTTAAATTGTAGAGCACCTTTAAGCAAAGAATGAACTAAGCAGATATTTCTAATACATGTTTTAGCTTCCAAAACAATAGCTCACTGCCAGGACTCACTCCTGTCACCTAGGAAGACTCAGCTTTGGATTTTCAAGGTTAGAATTGTACCACGAAATCCGGAGATACATATTATAAGGTTTTGCTAAGGAAATAACATTATCAAAAAAGGAAATATTTGTTTAGTCTTAAATCTGTGGGATTAAACACCCTCAAGAATAACTATATTCATTTAAAAAAAACAATGAATTTGTCCATATTGAAATCATTTTATAATTATTCATGTCACCAATTACTTTCTTTTATTATTTTTTAATTTTTTTAGTTGTCGATGGAATTTTTTATTTATTTACTTATACACCATCCTGAGAATCAAACCCAATGCCTCACACATTCCAGGCAAGTGCTCTATTACCATTTAGCCACAACCCCAGCCCACTTCCTTTTATCTTAATAATATAACAATTATTTTGAGTACTAAATTGGTATTTGTGTTTCTTTAGGAGAAAGAAATCAACTGGAGTACTGTCCCTCCTCATTACAAATAAAGTGCCAAGAGGAGACACATGTTTATCAGACTGTACCTTAGAAATATTCTGAGATCAGTATAATATTGATGATATTCTTTATGTTAATAATTACTCTACTAATTACTATTGAACATTGGATAATTTTTAACAAATCATTTAAAGTTGTATTAATTTGAATAATAATTATCTCTATAATGGCAGAAGGGTAAGCTAAAAGAAATACTACATAGCTATTCCCAAAATCAACCTCTCTGGGATTTCACAAAATTTTCAGCTAAGAAAATAAGCATAATTAAATTCTCAAGACTAAATAATTCATTAATTAAAGAAGCATTAAAGTATATTTTGTCTGATATTGCTTATGTAAATTCCTCTTTGGTGTGATGAGAAATGCCTACAGCTGTTTTCAGGAAGTATTTATCCTTTGACCTTCCTTATTAGTTCTAGGCACTTCTAAGTTTGTCTTGAATAATTAAATTAATTAATACTTTTAAAAATAGAGCCTGATGTATTGTGTCTAATAAATGTGGCTCCTATTACCTTTATTATTACTACTAATAGCTACATTTTTGAATTAAAGTAAGCAAAAGATGTGATTTAGAAACAAAATTCAAATCTTGTGTTAAATGATCACTTAAAGGCCTAGGATTACAGCTCAGTGGTAGAGCACTTGCCTAGGATGCACAGAGCCCTGAATTTAATCCCCAGCACCAGGCATACATACACAGAAAAAAGCAAGTAAAGCACAAAAGTATCATTCACATTTTTTTTCCTAATGTGCATTTGTTATTTCATAGAGGAGCAGATCAAAATATTTTAGTATTGCTAAACAAAGCACCAATTTCACATGCTAAATTTATTTTTAAATAAATTCTTCTGAAAGAAGAATTGTCTGAAATAGTGATAAGCCTGCTTTTGAACTCAGTTATGATAGAACATGTATTCACATCCAGTACTACACTTTATTTTTTCATTTCGATAGATACGTTCAATTTTGTTTTCTAGGTAGTCCCAAAGGAAACTGGTAAAAACATTCAGAACAACAAACCAAATTTCGCTTCCTCTATCTCATTTCAGTTCTGTAAATCCTAAGCCTGCACAGACATAGTTATAAATCTGATTCAGGAATTGAAGATTAATAGAGTTGTCCCAAGATTTTTCAGGGCAGAAACAGAAGTGAGATAGTGAAGTGGCTGAGGGTGATGTTGCCAAGGAGCTTCTAGGCAGAAACTTTTGAGTCCTGAAGACTATATGAAATCAGATCTCCAGTTTGCAATATCTTTGCTGAAGCAAGGAGAAGCCAGGTGAAAATTAAGGGTTCTCAGGAGAGCTCTGGGGTACACAGGAAACCTGTCAATTGTGTGATACACAGGCAGGGTAAAATGAATTGTGATACACAGGCAGGGTAAAAGGAAGATTGAGATGAATTCCAGTTCAACCAGGGCCATTCAGCAAGTTTCCTAATGTCTCTCTGCGTGTTTGTGACTCTGCTTGTGGGGATAATAATGTTTATTCATAAAGTTGGTGTGGACTTTATTTCTGGCTCACATCAGCTGATCAATAAGTGACAACGAATTTAATGTCAGAATTATCATGTTGGTTTACTCATTTTTAAAAATAATATTTATTTCTCAAAATCCTCACTTAAATAAACCTCATTTTAAAAGTATAATAATTTGTGGGTTCATTTTTATGGCATAGTTCTCCAAATAGAGAGTATCACAAACACCTATGCACACCATTATTTCCTAGATTCTTCTTCATATATCCCAATTAATATTGACTGCTGTGAATATCATTCTTTCAGAAAAAAAGGAATGCCTTCCCTTTATTTTATTAAAATTTTTATACCTTAATTTTACTTATTTTTTTAAATGAGGATCAAACCCAGTGCCTTACATATGCTAAGCAAGTTCTCTACTACTGAGCCACAACCCCAACCTCCCTCTATTTTTTACATTTCATCTTAGATATTTTTTCCTGATTGATTGATATCTATTACTTAGAAAGGCATGAAGTACTCCAAATCTCATTAGAAAAGTCACTCTTATCCAGGTTCTGGTTAAACTTTGCTGACTAAAATTCCATACCCTTGGAAAAAGATTCAAATAAGCATCTGAAGTCAACCCAGCCCTGGATCTCTTGGGGCTTGTTGGCTCCCCTGGTGGGCACACTGATGGTGCTTGTTGACCAGGGAAGCATTTCCTGCCTTCCCAGTCTGATAGGAGAGTCCAGGGACCAGGAAATGAGTCTAGCTGGGCAGAGATGCTGTCCACTCCTATCATCCCTTTCTTCTCTGGAATTGGTGAAGAGAATATAAAATGACCCATGCTCCATCCCTTGACTTTCAGAAAGCCAGAAAACAAGTAAAAATTGTAGAAGACAAGAAAACGCAACCTGCAGATAGCAAAAATGTAATACACACCAAATGAAACCATTTCAATCCTGACACCCATTTCTCCAACATACGCAAAAGTGCAGGTAACTCCGGCAAAAGTGCAGGTAACTCCGGCAAAAGTGCAGATAACTCTTGAATCTCCTTTTTCTATTTCTTAATCATCTACATAAATTTACATTGATCTCTGTCCATGCCTTCTTCTCTTTCTCTCTCCTTTACTCATGGTTGTAAATATTAGTTGCTCTGATCCTTTGTCCCAATATTGGGAAGGCACCAAAGACCAACACAAAATAGAACAATTGAGCAGACGGAGACGGAATCTTATCTCTAGGTTCATGAATGCACACAGTGAGGTCATATTGCTTTTCTATCTTCACTCTGTTTAATAATAGCTTAGAGGAGCAATGGGTTCCAGCTGATGAAAGATATCATCCAAAAACAGTTGGAAAAAGAAAAGTATTAGGAAATGAAGCAAGTCTAATTGCAGAGTCTTCGCCCTTGCCCCCTCCCCTTTGCTATCTGGTATTGTTCCTGGATATAGCACATGCTGATACAGTGTTTCACCAGGTGTGATCCCTCAACTAGCTGCCCCAGCATCATCTGGGTGATGGACTAAATGCAGATTCCTGGGCCAGCTACTGGTCTGGAATCTCAGGGATCTAGGTCTGAGTAAGAACTTCACTCTAGCAAAATTCCCAGATCATATATAA